CTCATTTCATAGATTTCATAGATTTCATAGACATTAGGGCTGGAAAGGATCTCATAAGATCATCAGATATTGGTTCCAATTTATTGCATTCTTCCTGGACATCTAGAGTTCAGCCAGTCTAGAGCAGGGGTTTCAAAGATGCAGCCAACAGAGCCTTATAACCCAGCCCATGGTGCTCCTACAGGAGCTGGGAATACAGGGGCAGGGCAAGCAGGGATGTGGCTTGCTACTTAAATCCCAGCTACAAAGCCTTGTTGGAGGCACATCAGGAGCAGGGGGGCAAGCAATGCTGTTTGCCACTGCTGGGTCCAGATTGCAATACTTCTGGAGGCTGAATCCCCAGGGTCTGATGCCCCTGCTCTAGAGAATGCCCTCAACTCGTTGAGCATTAGCCAAATGGGCTTCTCTGAGACTGCTGTGAACTGCTACTCTCAGATATGGCCTTGTTAAATAAATTTTAATAGAATGACTTACGCTGGCCCATAGTTGCAAATAAAATGTGCTGCATCAGGTGCTCCAAAACCTTCTACTTTAGGGCAAAAGTGAACAGCACAGCCAACTTTGTAGCTGTTATCCCAAACAACCTGAAAAGAAATGGATGTCAGGTACTACAAAATAGCAGACTTAACACTCATGGGACTACACAAGGATTGGCTGTTGTCATTTATGCCACAAATAGAGAATTGACAAGACAGAAGTATATCCTAAGAACTCTTTACAAAGCTAAGCTATAGCTACTTAAACACATGAAGTTCATAACAACACTGACAAACAGGGATTCTTTCAACTGCAGTATTTGAATGTGTTAATGTTATGTGGGCAGACGAAGTCTTTGGGTAGAGATGATCTCTTTTATTAGACCAACTAAAGTGTTGCAAAAAAGCTGTTCTTTGCAAGCTTTTGGATGTACCCACCCTTCCTCCAGCAAAAAAAAAAAAAAAAATTGAAAATGGTGAGAGAGATGAAAGATAGTCAGAAATCTCTCGGGTATGAAAAAAGCCAGTCTTTAAAAGGCAGCTCTACAGGAATGCAAATGTAGAAGGGTTACAGGAAACAAAAGCAAGTTGTTTCCTGTAGGCATCAGATGTCAGCCAGGCTGGCAGGGCCATAAAAGCGATGTTAAAAATGAGTCCTGGTTGTTGAAATTGGCTTGTATGCTATGTTTTTAATATTATGTGATGAGAAGAATATTTTGATGCGGTGGTTAGTTTTTTCTTGCATGTATAGAAGTCAGGTATATTTAATTTGTCTTGGTTACTTTATAGTGACCTACAAACTATCCTCTATATGAGGAAAATGGTGTTTTTTCAAAGATATGATGTGTAATAAGGGCCAAATTCTGCTTTTATATCTCTGTCTCTTGTACTGAGGTTAATTTCCCTA